TGTTCCGGACAGCCGCAGGGTGTCCGTGCGGAACGAGTACGGCGGGCGGCCGAGCCCCAGGCGCCGCTCAACTCGCGGTCGCAGGCCTACCGCCGCCAGTGCGCGCCGTCGCCGCGACGCGGAGCCGCTTCTCGCGGTTAATTTTTGCTTAGGCGCCTATATAAGACGTCGCGCGAGACCACTCAAGGCTTTTATGCCTCTTGCCTGTTGCCAGCTTTGACTGCACATCAGGTATTCTTTTGCGCTCTAGCTAGCTTCATATCGCCTTTTTGAGTGCGCCAGCACGTTGGGCACTTGCCTCACCAGAGGTATACTTGCATATCTGCATCGATCTTCACTGCCTTTAGAGTGTCGTAGACACGTTGGCATTTGTGTTTAGAGTTCGGCAATTCTACACAAATTTTCGCAGCCCTTTAGAGTGCGCCTGCACGTTGGGCTATTGCCTCTAGAGTATCCGAGGACACGTTGGTATTTAGGTTACGAAGTGTATGGTAACTCCACGGATCTCCACCTTCTCAATACAATCGAGGATTGAGAGAAGGCTTCGCGCGACCACTTCGGATTACTTTGACGCTTCCATCGCGGTGGACGTCTCTCTTCGCGACTTCTCCCGTATTGAATACCCGGGGTATTAGCGCCAACAGAACTTATTACGATTGAGCTCACGACTTCGCACGAGTCGTTGTAATCAAGAACTCTGCGGCCAGGGCCGCAGCTCTCTCGCGAGCCACGCTCGCTATTGCTTTGCTGCCAGGGACGCAGCATATACACGCGAGCCACGCTCGCATTTACGTCCGCCTAGGACTTAGCCGCTGCCAGAGGCGCAGCCTATACACGCGAGCCAAGCTCGCCTTCACGTCCGCACCGGATTTAGTCGCTGTCAGGGACGCAGCTTTCGCGCGAGCCAAGCTCGCTATTACTTCCTTGCAAGAGGCACAGCGCTCTCGCACTACCTGATCGCTGGCCTAAGTCTACTCAAGACTTATACGTGGTCGCATCCGCTACTCTATATGCGAGGAGTCTTCGCTTCTCGCCTCGACGAGACTTAGCATTCGTCACGCACACGATATTATTGACGCGCGTTTACAGTTACCTGCACGTCACCGTCAGACTTCGACACGGCCGCGTCCGCGATTCAGCGTTGCACTTGCGTGTGGGCGATCCCTACAAGACATCGCAGGTGCCGCGTGCGCGACTGATAAAGGCGAATTCAGCTTGTCTGGCTATCATATCGAATTCAGCCTCTGTTGTTTCCTCGCCAAACAGAGCTGAATCTCATTCGGACCGGTTCCGACACTCACCAAAGGAGACGGACTAGTGTCTCCATACTCTGAGTGACTATCATCCTCCGAAAGGGGGATTCATTCCCAGCGCGCAGGCGCCGAGCAACTCCACGCGGGCTTTATACGGAGCCACGCAGTGCGCTTATACACAAGAGCACTCTCGCACTTTCCTCACACCATCTGACGAGGCTCCTGAATAGGAGAGCACAACATACTCACGCAACTTAAGATAGCAGTCGACGAACGTTCGACGGCATTACGAACCAGCCGCTCTAGACCTCAGGCCGTTCGAAACAATTGCATTTTATAAATTATTTGGTGAAATAGTGCAATTACTTTTAATTGTTTACATATTTATTTCTTGCTCACTTCAACTTAATTATTATTTACTTTTATCTAATGTTTACGATTGTATTCCAGATAGAGCAGGAGTTATGGCGCGGGGCGCCGATGGGGGTTTTTAGTCGGTAGGTTCTGATCCTTTGGATCAGGGAGTCCGACACTACTCCGGGTGTTCTTTCTAGACTAGGCCCCGGAGTGTCCATGATGGATTTTCCCCCATCTAAAAAAAAACGCATTTTTCAATGCTACACAATAAAAATTTTTTTACTGTAATCTTTTATTTGTGTATTTATTTCTTATATAGCAAATTCGATTGCAAAAACTAGTGTGCACGCGCACGCACGCGACATGCACACACACACACACACACACACACACACACACACACTAATTTTGGTCTGTTCATGGTTGACACATCTTGCTCGCTTTTTGCCGTAAATTTGCTGTCACGCGTTACTCGGCACGTCTTGCTCGATTTTTGTCGTAAATTTGCCGTCACGCGTTGCTCGGCACGTCTTGCTCGCTGTTTGCCGTAAATTTGCCGTCACGCGTTGCTCGGCACGTCTTGCTTGCTGTTTGCCGTCACGCGTTGCTCGGCACGTCTTGCTTGCTGTTTGCCGTAAATTTGCCGTCACGCGTTGCTCAGCACGTCTTTCTTGCTATTTGCCATAAATTTACCATCACGCGTTGCTCGGCACGTCTTGTTAGGTCTTTGCCGCAAATTTGCCGTCACATTGCTTGGCACGATTTGTTCGCTATTACCGCAAACTTGCTGTCACGCGTTGCTTGGCATCACTTACTCCGTTTTTGTCGCAAATCTACAATCAAAGTGCGCTCGGCACGATCTGCTCTGTTTCTGCTGTCAATATGCCATCATACTACTAATGACAGCTTGTTCGGTTTTTGCCAGCAATTTACTATCACGCTTGATAACAGATCGTGTCGCAATATTGCCGACATTTTGCCGACATCACTTGATATAGCAAATCGTGCTGCAATTTTGTCGCCATTCTGTGGACAAAACGTGCAGCACGCTGTGCCGAAAATTGCTTTTGGCACGTTTGGCTATCAGGGTATATATATATATAAAATACTTTATTATAGGTTTTTGGAAAGCCCTTGAAATAAGCTACAAGAATATGTAATAAAAAGTGGAGGGTCCAATTTAAAAAATTCAATTTGATCTTCGTATGACCTTCGTCCTCCACTCAAAGTCAAATTTTGATTAAGCTCTACAACTTTGCTACTTACATATTTTTCGTTACAGTTGATCCTTTTCGAGATATTTGACCGTTTCCGGATTTTTTGCCAACCCTATATATATATACAGGGTCCGCCACCAAAATCCGGACAAAATGAACAATTTGTTTAAATAAAATTCTACTCATCAAAATGTAAAACTTACAAAAGAACTTTTTGTGTATCACTAGTGGTATCCTTTTAGAGTAAAATTACTCTATATAACCCCCTTTTGCTTCGATGACTGCTTCGATCCTCATCCTGAAGCGCTGGCACGCTCTCTGCAACGCGTCCTTGTCTATATTGGCGAATGCTGCTTCGATAGCGGTTTGGAGAGATGTCACATTGGGATGTCTCGACTTGTTGGTCACTCGTTCAATGACGCTCCACACGTAATAGTCCAACGGATTCAAATCTGGACTGTTCGGAGGCCAAAATTCCTTTGACCAAAACATGTCCATTTTATCCGACAGCCAGTTTTGCACTAAGTGACTCGTGTGCGCTGGCGCGCCGTCTTGCTGGAAGACGTACGGCTTCCCGGCGGCCACGGTTTCT